AAATGGGTGGTGGCCGATTATTAATAGTTTACTCTACCTCATTGATTGCAAAGATGGTTCTTGTGAAAGAAGTTACTGAATAACCCGAATCCAATGGAACTAAGGAACTTACTTGTCATCAGGATCAGTAGCATTTAATTTCTTTAACATTTCCAACTCAGGCATACCAGTCTTGTGCCTGATAGCACAGAATTGAGGTAATTATGAATGGTGTAAGGAGGATAAACAAGGCAACTGAACTCAAACTATCGATGAGTAGTCTCGTCCCACCCCTTTGCTACCTGCGGATCAAAGGGCCGGGGCGAGACTAATCGATGAGCTACTGCATATATAAGGTTTGGTCTTTATCTTCTGATTTTTAGACCCACTTCAGTTGCATGACTTGCTTAAAGCACTCGAGAGATTTGGAGTGAAATTGCCTGCTCTTCCCTGGCAGTCACTGGGTGATAGGCTACCTGATAGTAAAAGAATAAGTTCATCAATATGTATCAGGAAATGTAGTGAAAAATTAGGGTGATTTCAGAGCCATTCTTAGAAAAAAAACATGGGTTATTAAAACCTTGGGTATTTTTTAGAATTTTAGAATATTATTCCATAAAATGGCTGTAGCTTTAAAAATTGAAGTCAGAACCAGCTTAAACTTTCTACACAACATAAGGACATCAATGTACATGTACATGTATCAGGAAATTGAACAAAGACAAGTTTCATAGTTGTACATTTACAATGTACATGTAATTACTTTTTTCAGGAGTTTCAGTTACACTTATAGATACAATACTTAATCTTCTCTTGAAGGACAACACCTATACCTTACCTTTAATGCTTTAAAACTCCTTCTAAATTTAAGAGGATTGTTAATACTTATTGATCACTAAACTCACCATTTTATCTTACATACACAAGTCGTTACATGCACAATATACATGTAATGTATGTGTGTACCTCATTGATGGTATTTCCAAGTCTTCAGTTGCCTCTTTTGCTACAATATCAGAATCATCACTATTAGCACTAACTAATGTAGCAGGACTAGGATTAACACTACCAACTGATAATGGAACCTGAAGAGAGAGAGAAAGAGAGAAACATAATAATGTATATAAATGTATTAATAAATAATGAGTGAATCCTCTGAATAGTTTTTAACAAACACTTAACACAATCGGTTTTATCCATTAACGACAGGAAGGTCAAAAGCATGTACATGTACATGTATAACTAAATGAAAAACATCATGGTACACTACTATAGTGTATAATGTCATTTACAAGTGCATGTATTGTCCATTATTAGACATTCCATTTATACATGTAGATGCACGTAAACCTTTAATTAGTGGGTGTGGCTTACATATTAATATTTCTGTTCAATATTCTTCCTCATTCGACGTCTTTTCTCAATAATAGCATCTTCATCATCTTCAGACTCTAATGATACATCTAATACACTGAGGAAAGAGAGAACACTTATTGATACATGTATAAACACCAATTATTGATATACAGTACAATATAACATATTTGGAAAATAGTTTTAAAAATTTGTAAAAAAATACAATTTTGATCGGAATCATGCAGCTACATGTAGCTGAAACTTTCTATGTGACGGATAGTATACCGTATAAATAGTTTTTTCGAAAGAATTATATTTAGTGAAATCTAATAAAATTCCAAATTCATAGATTTTAATTTTGCAAATTGTACCATGTGTGCCATGCGGTACTGTATTAAATTGATTTTTTGCACATTTTATTTTTGTGAATCAGGAAGAAATCCACAAAATCCGTGAAATTTGAAACCCTAAAAAACCCACTTATATAGTACATGTATGCATCAGAAAAATTATAAAAATAGAGAATTCTCCCCTTTTCAATTTTGGCAAAATTTGACCCGGTGACCCTGTACTATATATAGTACAGAGACTTTGGCCCAGTTTTGGAGCAACTTAAAAAATTTGTTAAAAATCCAATTTGAGTCAGAATCAGTCCAAAC